CAAGGAAAGCTAGAGAAGAAGTCTCTGAGCCCCTCCCAGTCGGCGTGTCCGTAATGCCAAGTTTTGCGGCCTGTGCGAGTTTCTGCGGCCACAGCGGCTTCTGACCGAAACCTAACCTCCACAACACCGTGATCTGAGTTACCCAGGGGGGACAGGACGGCAGTGCTGTAAGGGGCAGGATGCGTGGTCAGAAAGAGATCCAGCAGGCTACTGGCGTGTGACGAGACGCGGGGGAAAAAAGTAGGGCTCGTCACCAGCTGGGTCAGCCCTTGAGTAAGAGCGAACGCTTCGACCGCACGACCTGCTGCATCGGTCTTATTTGAGCCCAACCAAAGCTCATTATGGGCATTGAAATCACCGAGAAGAACTACTTCTGAAGCGGGGTGATTGATGTTCAGGAAGTCGATCTGGACGGCGAGGTATTCGAGTAGGTCATCCCAGTTATGGTTCGAGGGAGAGCGATAAAGGCAGCAAATAAATTTGGGTGATGTTTTGGAGTTGAGGCGAAGCCACAGAATGTCCTTCCGGTCTGATTCCAAAGAAAGATCCCTGGAGCAGGAAAGACTGCTGCGGACAAAAGCCACAACTCCCCCGTTCTTTCTCAGATTGGAGTGCACCTCGTAGTTTGGGAAGTTGAGATGGTTAATCGGTGCAGCCTCTGAGATTTTTGTCTCCGCCAAGAAAAGCACGGCGGGACGATTGGATTGCAGGTAGTGATGAACAGCATCAATGTTGCTGTTGATCCCGCAGATGTTGGAAAAACAAATTTTATCTTCGATGTTGTTCCCTCGAGCCCACCCTCCACCCGGACATTCCGAGAGTGGAGTGAGTTTACGTCCGGAGTTTTTAGTGCTCGAGGGATCCATCATCATTAATTTCTTTGTTTTGGTAGATAACCGACTGCATAGCTTAGGTGTGGAAACATGCGGACATTTATAAGACACCCTGGGAAAAGCTAGCGGGTGGTACTGCCTCGGTCGACTGGTCCTTGTCTACCACCTTCTTTTTATGTATTAGTGATGTTAAATAGACCTAAAGTGGCCCGTTGGCGGACTTGTACCGCCACCCGGCAATCGGTACTGAGGTATTCCTTAACGCGTGCGCAATCACTTGGACGGGAAGAAGTTGTATACTGGATACAACGACTTCCGGAACAAGCATTTGCCACGGCCCTCGCTCAGTAGGGGACAACAATGACAACAATGATTGCACAAAATGGTGGTCATGGAATAATGAGTGAGGTAAACCCTTTGACAGAAGGCCGAAGGTTGTCAATGTCTGTGTTGAAAGATGGAACGAATTGTGGGCGTGTGCTAAAACGTTGCCAAATCACTTCAGATGATGTGATTTTCAGAATGTTATGTAAGAAATTGTTAAACCGACCAGAGGCAGTTGAATAAACTATATTTTAATTAATGGGAATTTAAATTAACAATTATTAATAAATCGTGAGAAGAGAATTATTAGATTTTGCGTGGAATGAAATTTACTGGTGGAATCGGCCAAAACACAGATTCTATTTATGGTTGTGAAGAGTCGAAATTACATCCCCAAATTTCGACAAAGTCCATTGAAAGCTAGAGAGAATTAAAAAAGTATAAAGAGTCCTCTTTGCTTAAATTTTGTCGAAGTACCCAACAAAAGGCGGAAGCTTTAATTTTTCACCTATATATATATATATATATACAGGGTTATCCAAATTAAGTGTCCACCATTAGTAACTTTGTTATTAGTGAAAATACAAAGTTGTTTGAATTAGCAAACTAGTAGCATTTTTAACGCTGGTAGAAATGAGAAATAAAAAAAAACAATTGAGAGTCGTTATTTTGATTTTTTTCAGTAAAATAACATTTTTTTAAATAGAAACCCCTGTATATTATATTTTTTTCTGTTAAAGCATCAAATTTTAAACAAAAAAGTTCATAATGACTTTTCCGCTAAAGTCAAAAATAAAGTCAAAATAACGATAAATATTTTTAATTATTTGCAGTATTATAATATTAAGACGGCTATGAAAACAACATGGCGTTCGCGATTTGACAGCATTAAGATAAGCGACAAATTGTTAAACTGGACATACTCGCAACTAGAAGGCTTTGGAAAACAATGATAAAATCAAATAATGTCAAACATTAGTGTAAATATTGTGTCATTAATTTAAAGAAAAATGTTCTCCCATGAAGAAAAGTGTGATATGTTAGAATGCTATTTAGTGTGCAGAAAATCCTCCTTGAGAGCAAGAGAATACTACAGTGAATTATATCCCGCTCGCATTCAACCGTATGAACGATATTTTCTGAGACTTTATCGAAAATTTAGGAGCAACGAAAATGTTTTTGCTAAAACAAGGGCAAAAGAAGAATTCATAATAAGCGAGGCCACGGAAATTGCAGTTATTGGATATTTTGAAGCTTATCGTGAGAATTCAATAGCAGATATTCTCAAGGACTCTAATTTCAGTTATGGTACTGTTCAAAGGATTTTAAAAAAATACAAATTTATTCCGTATAAGTACCGACCAGTTCAAACGCTTTTGGCAGGGGATCCAGAGAGAAGACTTGTTTTTTGCCATTGGTATCTTAGCTTCTGTCGCCAAAATGTAAATAACTTTCGTTACCTTTTATGGACAGATGAATCAAATTTTTCAAATTCTGGAATGTTTAGTAGAAAAAACCACCATTATTGGTCAACAGAAAATCTTTTGTTAGTACATCCAAGAGGCCCACAAGTCCGTTTCAGTTTCAACGTTTGGTGCGGTATAATTGGTTCAAAAATTGTTGGCCCGTTCTTTTATGAGGGAACCCTAACTGGTGAAAGATATGTGGAATTTATGTCAGAAATTCTGACTAATTTCTTAGACGAATTGGATCTTATAAGTAGACATCATCTGCATTTTCAGCAAGATGGCGCACCTGCCCACAACTCCAGAGGTACTTATCATTTTCTAAGTACTACTTTTAATGATCAGTGGATAGGAACAAATGGCCCAATACAGTGGCCTCCCAGATCACCAGATCTAAACCCACTTGATTACTTCTTGTGGGGTTACTTAAAGAACCAAATTTACAAGCGAAGGTACGATAACCTTGACGCGTTAAAGACTGCAGTTAGGGAAAAGATAACCCAGATAGATGGTAGGACCATACTTAAGACAGTTCGAGCAGTTGAAAAACGTGCCCAAAAATGTATTGAAGAACAAGGTGGTGTTTTCGAGCATCTTCTTTAAAAAAAATTGTTATTGTATTTTGTAAGATTATAAGTTGATGTTGAAAATAAAGTTTGTCGATACAATTTAATTGTTTCAGATTGGAGGCCATAACTTCAACAATTTGTAACCTAGGAGAAAAGTGATTGTAAGCGTTTTTGTTTAAAATTTGATGCTTTAACAGAAAAAAATATAATATACAGGGGTTTCCATTTAAAAAATTTGTTATTTTACTGAAAAAAAACAAAATAACGACTCTCAATTGTTTTTTTTATTTCTCATTTTTACCAGCGTTAAAAATGCTACTAGTTTGCTAATTCAAACAACTTTGTATTTTCACTAATAACAAAGTTACTAATGGTGGACACTTAATTTGGATAACCCTGTATATACAGGGTGACTTCGAAGTTGAGTCATTTATTTTAACAGTGAGTAGATCTGATCAAAAGAAATGTTTTTTTCCTTTACCATTTTTCTGGTAAAATTAAAGTAACAAAGTTATAGCCCTTTGGAAGTTTGAGTACCGCCCTGCCTATTATATGCTCCTGTTTGGCGACAACGGATATAATCCGCCTGACCGGTTCATCGCATCGGAAACAAAAAAGCGAAAGAATTTGAAACGTTTATCACGATGTTTTTCGTCAGTCGATAAATCCTGAGTGAATAGTAGTGTGTTGCGTGGCTCCAACGAAATCAAAAATGGCACATGTTTACGAAAATGCTGAACTTGTGGACATGATTCTTATTTACGGGGGGGGGGCAGTCTTTACAAAATGCTCCCGGATGCATCACGGATTTATGCGAATCGGTTTCCCAATCGAGTGCAACCAACCCCTCGTGCCTTTGTTAATGTAGTGCAAAGGGCTCGTGAATCAGGTGACTTAAGACCTCACAGGTGAGGGCATGTTGCTCCAAGACCGCACGATCAAATACAGGTCCGCACTGAAATACTTGTCGGGAGGATACTTTATTAAACAAGGTAACATTTTTTTTTTATTTTTTTTTTATTTTTACACACATATTTTGGTTTATCTTCCTTCTACAATCATTATCTGAAAATTAATGACTCAACTTCAAAGTCACCCTGTATATATATATATATATATATATATATATATATGTCTTTGAGGTGACACTTCATTTGTTTTTTATTTTCATTTCCACATTCCTATACAGTGTGGTACTATAATATTCTGAAAGGACCGTAACATTTGTAACGTCTAGCCCACCAAAAAGATAAGTGAGCATGAGGTTATCTGTCGTTTTTTAATGTACCAGATATGTTACCCTCGTCCATTGTTCCGAAAACGCCAAAAGGCTTCCAAAAAATCCAAAATCCACGCAGAACTGTTACCGTAACACACATGTTAATTGTTACGCAATATCCGACTAAAATGTTCCAAATGCATTATTTATGGATCTGAAACGTGAGAAATAGTACTTCGACATTCAAAGGCAACTATGTTATTTGTCCTGTGAGAGAATATTGTAAGATCCAACAGTTAGACCTTGAGATGGAAAGTAAAATATCTGCAAGATCCAGATCCGATAACAAACCACGAGAAAAACCTAGTTAGAAAACGCATGGTCCATTAGTTGGGTTGAATGTCTTCAGCCTAACTGAACCGCACCCCGTCTTCAGAATAAAATGAACGGATTCGTTGAAACGGGTCCGACGATGGAACGACTTCAGTGGAACCGATCCCTTCAATGGAACTGGACCGCCCAACAGTAGTGTACTAAGTGGCTTAACTTTAGACGATAAGATTTTGGTTGACAATAAAACATTTTTTAGATATAACTGCCTATTGGCAGTAGATGTAGTTGCATCACTAGGCGCTGTACCATTCTACATGGATAGGTGGGGTATAGATGCAGCTTATGCGGGCTCTCAGAAAGTATTGGGTGCACCACCAGGTTTGGCACCTATTTCATTCAGCCCTAGAGCAAGGTAAGTTATACAGGGTGTAAACCTTATGATAGTAATTATTTAAATGGGTGATAGAGGGGTTAAAAGAAGGAAAAAATTTCATCATAGGGGTCAAAATGGCATTTCTTTAGAGAAAAGCGATCGGATTGAGGTCAGGAGATCTTGCTGGCCATTTTCGAGGATCAGGAGCATTTCGACCGATCCAGCGATTTGGATAACGTTCATTCAAATACTGAATGTTAGTCTGCGAGGACAGTCTTCTGGTAACAAGGCCTGCACTCGTTGTACATGGTAGGAATGAAGCAAATTTTCCCGTAGGATTATACGCGGCGGCCCAATTTCCGAGTGTTGATATCTGCATTGATTTCCACGATATTTAAAATTTGTTCCTTCTGGTCTACAGTAACCTGTCTTTCACGAGTGCGAATATTAGTGCGCTGAACACTTCCTGTATCTCGAAGTCTTTGGTCCACTTGCACAAATGTCCTTCTGTCTGGGTGTACCCGTTGGCCAAATCTGTCGCGATAAATTTGAGCTGCAAGATTTGAATTCTGACGAGGTTCACCGTAAACTAACAATATGTCGGCACACTCTTGATTCGCAAACAAACACGACGACGTACGCGAACAAAAACAAAACACGCCCGATGCCCGATAACTAACCAGTGTTACCGTTTGCGATCGATTGCCGGTTCGATAAGAGTGATGACGACGCGCTGTTGTCATGTGTGTTTTAAATATTCAATTTAATGAAACTTACTTACTGACTACACATTTTCGCTTAACTTAGAAAAAACTTAATGCCATTTATTTGTTAATTACCTAATTTAAAAACGTTTTTGATTAGATTATAAAAATTATTAAGATTGTGGTCGATATAAAGCACTGAAAGTTGTTAACTATAAAGCCATCTAGACAAAAATCTATTGACTTTTGGACCATGGGTCATATGAACTTTTTGACTTGTTTTGACCCACCCTATTACCCATTTCAATAATGACTACCATAACGTTACACACTGAATTACGAAAACGAAAACGCTAATTAAAGGCTACGGTTAATCTGGATCTGATGCTTTACTGTACTCTTGTTAAATGATGAAAAAACCGACCTTGTCAAAGAGAAATTGAAAATATTTTATTGATAATTTTTGTCTCTCATATCGAATATTTCACAGTACATAGAAGTTACCAATTTATCGTTGGCCATGGTGAAATAGTCAAGAAAGTACGCAAAAAGACGTCGGTCGTACGAAAAAGTAATATAGTTTTGAATATCCGGACAACACGAATCCCGAACTATACGTTCAATTTTTGGTGAATGTGCTAGGCATCTAAAGGTGCGTATACATATGCGAGCCGAGCGGTTCGCGAGCCGCTTGTGAGTCGCTCGATGGTGGTTCGTTGAAATGATTTTTTCCGCGAACCTCCAGCGATCCACAGATTCAGCGCACCAAACGCAAACAAACATCGCAGTCGACAAACGCAGTATGGCTTCGCGAAACGAAAATTATACTATTTTAGTGATGAGTGCTGCAGTTTTAGTAATGGCTGATGTAAATAAAAAAAAGAGAAGACAACGACGTTGGTGGCGTACTAATTTATTCAAGAAACGCAGTGGTACGGGAATTTTAATGGACCTAAAGTCGCAAGAAATAAGCGGACAGTATAAAAATTTCACTCGAATGACACCTACTGACTTTGAGAATCTGCTGCAAAGGATTGGACCCCATATTTCAAAACAGAAGACTTATTTTCGTACTCCAATCTCTGCCCAAGATAGGTAAGTCGGTGTACCGTGGACAGGTAGCTTTGTTTTTTAACAATTTTTTTAAATTAGTATTCTAAGTTAGCCGTAACACTTCGGTTTCTTGCCACGGGAGATTCATATACTAGCCTTCAGTATCTATTCAGAATTTCCAAGCAGTCGATTGGGCGTGTAATACCCCAAGTTTGTGCTGCACTAATTAAGGAATTGCAGGGATATATCAAGGTAACAACATTAATATATAAATTAAAGGCCTGTGTGTAATTCAAAAATATATTTTTCCTCACTTTAAAGTAATTTCCACCACTAAGTTAACAAACAAAAAATAGAACTCAAAAACGTTACACAAAATCTTCATAATTTTCTGATGTGAGTGACGAAACAGGTGATTGTAGCGATGATGGGTTGGACAATGATGGTTCAGAAGTTGCAGGAACGGTTATTACTTGCAGAGGTTGTGAATAATAAGTTTCAGAAGATTGAGAATATAGATTATGTGAAGTAGGTTGGGAATACATCGAAGAAGTAGGTTGTGAATTGATATGATTGGTAGCTTGTGACTGTATGTAGGAAGTAGGTTGAGAATCATTGTAAGATTGAATTGAAGTCGGATTAAGAAATCCTCTATCAGCTTTAATAATAAGGTCAAAAACGGCATGTTGAATTGTCTGTTGTATTGTAGGGGGGTATTTTTGAACCTTTGCAGCAACAAAATTAAAAAATAAATCTATTTCACTGGGTTGAGTTGGCTCTTTGTCCATTTTTTTCGCAGCATTCTTCAAAATCTGAAATGCATTACTCATTATTGGAGAGGAAACATTATCTTGTTTTGTTTTTGATCGCTTTGTAGATTTGGAGGTAGATGGTAGCGTAGGTGTCTATGGTATCGCCTCTTGTTCCATTTGTTCGGAAGATAGGGCAGCTTCGTTAACATCATCCAGCTCCTATTAAATACATTTTCAGCTACTTTATATGTAGTTTATAAATAATAAAATTTTGAAATGAAATTGTGTTAACATAGTATTAGCGATTCCTTTTTTTATTATTTGAGAAGGGTGGTTTTATCTTATTCCAAAATACACCAAAGGAGTTGCGCAAAAAATGATATTAAATAAATAAATTATTAAGATAAGCTAATAATGAATAAAACAGGTCAAAATTAATAATTGTTATTTCATTTCAGCTACCTAAGACTCCCACAGCTTGGAAACAAGTTAGCAAGATATTTGAAACTCGTTGGAACCTTCCTCATTGTGTTGGTGCCCTAGATGGAAAACACGTTGTTTTACAAGCACCAGTGAAATCGGGTACCGAATTCTTCAATTATAAATCCAATTTTAGTATTGTGCTTTTCGCACTGGTTGATGGTGATTATAACTTTATGTTTGCTGACGTAGGCTGCCAAGGAAGAATTTCTGATGGGGGGGTTTTTAAGGCAAGCAAATTATATCAGCAGCTTACAGAAAACAGACTAGGACTTCCAACACCAGAAGAACTAGAAGGATGTTCTATGCAAATACCGTATTTTTTTGCCGGCGATAGCGCATTTGCTTTAAGCGAAAATCTCATGAAGCCCTATACTGGGGACTTTCCAAAAGGAACTCCTCAACGAATTTTCAATTATCGTTTGAGTAGGGGTCGTCGCATAGTTGAAAACGCATTCGGTACATCAAGTGCAGTGTTTAGGGTGTTAAGAAAACCAATGCTCTTAGAGTCTGCAAAAGCAGAGTGGGTTATAATGACAGTCATTCTTTTGCATAATTATCTCATAAAACACTCACCAAATATTTATACCCCTTTTGGCACATTAGACTATGAAGTTAATGGAAATTTAACCGAGGGATCATGGAGAAATGAAGGAGATATGACGTCTATGGCACCTATACGAAATATTCCTCGAAGGCCCACAAACTATTGTACAAAAGTTAGAGATGAAATCGCTAATTATTTTATAAATAATGGAGCTCTAGAATGGCAGGACCAATATGCTTGAATTTATAACAATAATTACTTAACCTAGCAAGTCTTTTTCGTGGCAAATCTCTGTCTTCTAAAAACCTAAACGCTTCATAGGCAAACCATCTGCTGCAATAAACTTCATCTCTTCCTGAAAATTAAAATCGAGATTAAAATTATACAGGGTGTTCCATAATTATTGCGACAAAATGATAGGGGTTGTAGAGGGCATAAAAATATGCAATTTTGCCTTATAAACCCCTGTTCGTAAATATGCCGTTTGAGCACTACCGCTAATTTTACCTTAAGAGAAACAAAAAATTCAACAGCTGCAAAATGTTCGTCTAGCACATTTCATGGTCTCGCCGATTTGTAAAAAAAAGCCTGCTGTGTTTACATTTTTGTTATCGTAAATTCTCCACACCGATTCATTTAATTTATCTGAGTGGTGCGTCAAACTAGAGGCCAATCCGCGTACAAGCGTGCGTGCTATTGCACATGAAATGGGAGCGTCTCAAACTACTGCTTGGCGGGTTCTCCATGACCAGCAACTACACCCATACCACCTTTTAAAAGTCCAAGCCATGGGTCCAGAAAACTATCTGCCGCGTCGACGTTTTTGTCGTTGGTGGCTGCAGCAGGAGTTGAGGTAACCAAACTTTGGTCGCTACGTTTTGTTCACTGACGAGTCCTGTTTCACAAAGGAAGGTTATTTTAATAGCCGTAACAGTCACATTTGGGATGAAGAAAACCCTCATGCCATAGAGATCCATAGAGACCAACATAGTTTTCAATTAACATCTGGCGCGGCATTGTGGACGAGCATATCATCGGGCCATATTTGCTTCCACCACGTTTGGATGGGCATGCTTATGGTCGATTCTTACAGCATGTGCTACCGGAACTATTAGAAAATGTGCCACTGAACATAAGAGCCAACACGTGGTTTCAACACGATGGCGCTCCAGCCCACTTTTCTTTACAAGTGCGGCAGTATTTGGACGACAAATAGGTGGATCGGCCGAGGTGGCCCTGTGCCTTGGCCTGCGCGGTCACCCGACCTGACCCCACTGGATTATTTTCTCTGGGGCCATCTGAAAGCTTTAGTGTACGAAACTACTGTTCCCAACCAACAAGAGCTACTGGGAAGAGTGATGGCCGCGTCCGCACATGTTCAGGACAAACCGGGGGTATGCCACAGAGTTCGCCGATCATTGAACAATCGTGCACAGCTGTGTATTGAGCAAGGTGGAGGACACTTTGAGCAATTACTGTAGGTAAGCTGTTTCAAGAAACTGATCTTTTTTTTGCTACATCCCAAACGGCATATTTCCGAACAGGGGTTTATAAGGCAAAATTGTTCATTTTGATGCCCTCTACAACCCCTATCATTTTGTCGCAATAATTATGGAACACCCTGTATACGGCAAGTGAACTAACTTAATTAAAAACATATTATTTAGTTGAATTAAAAATTAAATTAGTATTAGCAAAAATATTTTGTATTATTATTTAAATAAAACACAACTAATTTATCTTATTATTTCATTTATTTACCTTTTCCTGTACTAGTCCCCTGCTTTGTTTTATTTTTCTCCCGGCGGAAAGAAGCTAAGAGGCTTATTATTTTCTTTTTGCACTGTTCAGCAGTGGTTTCCATTTAATCCGCAATTTCCCGCCAAGCGTCCTCTTTCTAATCTTTTTTGAAGTGATTTTCATTTTTAGGATCCCATAATAACGTTTTGATTGTATAAACGTTTATCAGACATAACATTTTTTCTTCCGACCATGAATCCATAACTTTATTGAAGAAAAATAAAGTTCGCTCGCGAGCTAAAGAAAAACAACGAACCTTGCCTAAACACGTCCCAATATGCACTGCGAATTCCTTTGTGTTCGTCGAAAAAACCGACAGGCCGCGGCTCGTCGCGAGCGGCTCACGAGCTGCTCACAAGCAGTTCGTTTGGAACCATAAACCCCGTCCCAATTAGCCGAACAAGTTGTTCACAAGCGGCTCGCGAACCGCTCGGCTCGCATATGTATACGCACCTTAATGTCAATCGATAGAACGCACATTCACCAGTATTGTAAAACTTTGTGCTTGGGTACAAAAAGAAGAAAAATCGCGTCAAGTACGTTGACTGTGTACTTCGCACGTAATCCAGTCACCAATTGAAGGCTACGGTTAATCTGGATGCGATGCTTTACTGACGCTACTGTTGTTAAATGATGGAAAAACCGACCTTGTCAATGAGAAATTGAAAGTTTTTTATTGATAATTTTTGTCTCTCATATCGCATATCTCACAGTACATAGAAGTTATCAATTTGTCGTTGGCCACGGTGGAACAGTCAAGTAAGTACGCAAAAAGACGTAGATCGTACGAAAAAATAACATATTTTTGAATGGCCTGACTTAACTCGATTCGCGAACTATACGTTCAATTTTTGGTGAATGTGCTAGGTATCTAATGTCAATCGATAGAATGCGCATTCACCAGTATTGTAAAATTTTGTGCTTGTAGTATGTTGACTGTGTACCTAGCACGTAATTCAGTCACCAATTGAAGGCTACGCTTAATCTGGATGCGATGCTTCACTGACGCTACTGTCGTTAAATGATGGAAAAACCGACTTTGTCAAAGAGAAATTGAAAGTTTTTTATTGATAATTTTTGTCTCTCATATCGAATATTTCACAGTACATAGAAGTTATCAATTTGTCGTTGGTCATGGTGAAACAGTCAAGTAAGTACGCAAAAAGACGTAGATCGTTCGAAAAAATAATATATTTTTAAATATCCTGACAACTCAAATCGCGAACTATAAGTTCCATTTTTGGTGAATGTGCTAGGTATCTAATGTCAATCCATAGAACGCGCATTCACCAGTATCGTAAAAATTTGCGCTTGGGTACAAAAAGAAGAAAAATCGCGTCAAGTATGTTGACTGTGTACTTCGCACGTAATTCAGTCACCAATTAAAGGCTACGGTTAATCTGGATGCGATGCTTTACTGACGCTACTGTTGTTAAATGATGGAAAAACCGACTTTGTCAAAGAGAAATTGAAAGTTTTTATTGATAATTTTTGTCTCTCATATCGAATATCTCACAGAAGATAGAAGTTATCAATTTGTCGTTGGTCATGGTGAAATAGTCAAGTAAGTACGCAAAAAGTCGTAGGTCGTACGAAAAAATAAAGTATTTTTGAATAGCCCGACTTAACTCGAATCGCGAACTACACGTTCAATTTTTGGTCAATGTGCTAGGTATCTAATGTCAATCGATACAACGCGCATTCACCAGTATTGTAAAACTTTGTGCTTGGGTACAAAAAGAAGAAAAATCGCGTCAAGTATGTTGACTGTGTACTTCGCACGTAATTCAGTCACCAATTAAAGGCTACGGTTAATCTGGATGCGATGCTTTACTGACGCCACTGTTGTCACATGATGGAAAAACCGAGTTTGTCAAAGAGAAACTGAAAGTTTTTTATTGATAATTTTTGTCTCTCATATCGAATATCTCTCAGTACATAGAAGTTATCAATTTGTCGTTGGCCATGGTGAAACAGTCAAGTAAGTACGCAAAAAGACGTAGACCGTACGAAAAAATAATATATTTTTGAATATCCTGACAACTCGAATCGCGAACCATACGTCCACTTTTTGGTGAATGTGCTAGGTATCTAATGTCAATCGATGGAACGCGCATTCACCAGTATTGTAAAACTTTGTGCTTGGGTACAAAAAGAAGAAAAATCGCGTCAAGTATGTTGACTGTGTACTTCGCACGTAATTCAGTCACCAATTGAAGGCTACGGTTAATCTGGAAGCGATGCTTTACTGACGCTACTGTTGTTAAATGATGGAAAAACCGACTTAATCAAAGAGAAATTGAAAGTTTTAATTGATAATTTTTGTCGCTAATATCGAATATCTCACAGTAGATAGAAGTTATCAATTTGTCGTTGGTCATGGTGAAATAGTCAAGTAAGTACGCAAAAAGTCGTAGGTCGTATGAAAAAATAAAATATTTTTGAATAGCCTGACTCGAATCGCGAACTATATGTTCAATTTTTGGTGAATGTGCTAGGTATTTAATGTCAACGATAGAACTCGCATTCACCAGTATTGTAAAACTTTGTGCTTGGGTACAAAGAGAAGAAAAATTGCGTCAAGTATGTTGACTATGTACGTCGCACGTAACTCATTCACCTATTAAAGGCTACGGTTAGTCTGGATGCGATGCTTTACTGACGCTACTGTTGTTAAATGATGGAAAAACCGACTTTGTCAAAGAGAAATTGAAAGTTTTTATTGATAATTTTTGTCTCTCATATCGAATATCTCACAGTACATAGAAGTTATCAATTTATCGTTGGCCATGTTGAAATAGTCAAGAAGTACGCAAAAATACGTAGGTCGTACGAAAAAATAAAGTATTTTTGAATAGTCTGACTTAACTCGATTCGCGAACTATACGTTCAATTTTTGGTGAATGTGCTAGGTATCTAATGTCAATCGATAGAACGCGCATTCACCAGTATTATAAAACTTTGTGCTTGGGTACAAAAAGAAAAAAAATCGCGTCATGTATGTTGACTGTATACTTCGCACGTAACCTAGTCACCAATTGAAGGCTACGGCTAATCTGAATGCGATGCTTTACTGACGCTACTGTTGTTAAATGATGGAAAAACCGACTTTGTCAAAGAGAAATTGAAAGTTTTTTATTGATAATTTTTGTCTCTCATATCGAATATCTCACAGTACATAGAAGTTATCAATTTATCGTTGGCTAAAAATGTATTTTTTTTTTAAGTTACTGATTGAATTAAACTAATTCCTGGCTTAATCCAACTTGTGATACAAACTTAAAATATTTTCATTTATTCATCTTCACTGAATTCTGATGCGGCAATTTCTTTATCATCTGTCGAAAAGCTCTGATAGTATTTTCTGATTACTTCATAGAGTCACTGATCACATTGTGGCACATAGTTTTTAACCAGAGTCATAACGCGATCAAATTTATTTTTCTTTAGCTTTCTTCTTTCACTGTACACCTCATTTGTAGTGCTTGGGAGAGTCAGAGGCTGCACATTCCTGTTATCCCGGATTTCAAAAATATCAAACTGATACAAAAAGGATGTTTCACTACAATTAAATAATATTTCATCATCTAGTTGTTCATAACGCATGATTCGATATTTTGAGATTGTAAATTTATTGTTGTTCCTTGAAGGATTCTTTACAAACAACTGTTGAAAATGGGCTTTAAAATTTCAAACCACGCACGGCAGTGGCGGCTCGTGGCAAAATAAAACAGGTGTCCTGCAAATCCGAACTTACCTATTTTTTATATGTCAGTTCGATCCTGCGCTCCTCCTTGGCAGCAAATTTGTCGATCACCTTCCCGTTGAAATTTTCCATGGTCGAAATAAATTCCTTTTTAATGGACAGCATCGACAACGCTGTAAGGCGATCCTGGGTCATAGGAAGGTCTTGATTCTTTTCAATGTTGAGAAATTTTGCACAATTTGAATGTTACAGACCTGGTTTATGCTCCGGATGATTCATCATTTAAAACTGTGCGAGAATATGGACTTGGCCGGTTTATGTATTAGATCTCGCATAATATGCATTTTGCAAGAAAATCTGTCTAAATATACTGGTTCTAATTTTCAGAGACGTTATCTTTTCACGAAAAACACCCGCACCAGTTTACTACTGGGATATGAAACTTGTGGGTCGACAGTGGAAATGCTTCGACGAGGATAGAATGTAAGTATTTATTTATTCACCCTTTACCCGATTATTTTTTATATTCTTTTGCAGCTATCATCATACGATCTCGTCCACTCTTCTATATGGTCTACGCGAAGGGCTGTCAATCTTAGCTGACGAAGGTCTAGAACACGCAATACAAAGGCATAGAACGTGCGCAAAAAGGTTGTACAACGAACTAGAAAAGATCGGATTCGAATTGTTTGTTGAGAACGAGGATGACAGGTTGTGTACTGTCACCACCGTTTATATCCCCGATTGGGTGACATGGGACGACGTTGCTTTGTATATGAGAAGGTATAAGTCGAAAAATGCTTCCAAATTAAAAAAAAAAGGATTTCGAAGCCACTAGATTTTTGAGTCATTTTATAAAAAATTATATTTTAGCTTAACGTATTTGAAATTTTAACTTCAGACCGAGACATGGAATGGTACGAGGGTAGGTCTGAATAGTCTCAGATCTCAACCTGAAGATGGCAGCACTCGTAAATAAAAGCTAGTGAATTTCGTTGTTCATCTGTTGACAGTTACCAAAATTTCAGCCATTTTGAACGTGTAGTATTTATGTAACACTCGTTTGAGTGAGTCGATGCGAGTTTTTTGTGGAATTGGACAAAATGGAGTATCAAGCTGTCATTAAATATTTGTTTTTGATAGGCATTACGCCTTCGCAAATCAAAGATGAGCTGGATTCTGTGTATGGGGACTCTGGACCAACATTCACCACAGTGAAATTTTGGGCAGCTGAATTTAAACGTGGCCGTAAGAGCTTGGGAGACATTGAACGCTCTGGAAATAAAAAACTGCAACTATCGACGAAAACATCGACAATTACACCAAATGGTTTTTTTTTTTTGATATCGAAACAGCCGCGCAGGCAGAAGCCTAAATACCGGAACACCGCGGCTGCTATGATGATCCCAAAGAAATTTTGTTAATACGATTTTTGAACTGCCTAAGGTTAGTAGAACTGGGAAAAACTTCCTCCCGTAGTTTGTTCCATAATCTAGACACCCTCGGGACAAAGGAGCGGTCGTATCGGCCAGTTCTGGATGTACGAAGTTTGACACGGTTAGGATGGGACGCCGAAGTCAGGCGGGTCTGTCTGGCAGGCACATCGCGCGGTGGCATCATGGATGAGAGCTCTGAGGAGCAAAGCCCGTTGGTGTAGCGATAGAAAAGAGCTAGATCGCCGACGGCCCGTCGGTGCAAAATAGTCCCGAGACTGTCTGTTAGAGAAGAGTCATCGATCAGTCGGACCGCCCTCCTCTGGACAGCATCGAGCATGGACAATGTAGTCGGGGCGGCAGCACCCCAAATGTGTGAGCAATACTCGAGGCTAGGCCTTATCTGGGCCTTGTATAGAGTGAGAAGGTCATGCGGAGAAAAGTACTTCTTAGCCCTAAACAAATAGCCTAGCTTTTTCCCAGCAGCTGCAGCTATTGAAGAGATGTGTTCGTGCCAGATCAGGTCCTCGGTGATCTGGACTCCGACCAGCCGAAATGAATGGCTCTTTGGTAGAACTCGACCGTCCATCGAAACTGTATGACCGCTAGGACGCTTTTTGTTCGTCAAAGTACAGTACTGTGTTTTGGAAGCATTGAACTGTACAAGATTGTTGCGTCCCCGCAGTGATAGCCTCCAGGTCTCTTGTCAGAGAAGAAGTCGTCGCTAGTCTTCTTTTTTCCAGCTCAGCGGCAGAGATCGGCTTGTCACTCTGAATTCCTGCATGTAGAGTGCTGTCATCAGCGAAGCTGTGGATTGGGTTGATCGTGCAGGAAAGGAGGTCGTTGATATGTAAGAGAAACAGTGTTGGAGCCAAGACCGATCCCTGGGGAACACCCGCGTTGACGTTGTGGGATGAAGAGGAGAATCCGTCAATTACGACGGATATCTTGCGGCCAGAGATAAAGTCAGCCACCCATCTGCAAAGCTTTTCTGGGAGGCCGTAGGATGGAAGTTTGGTCAAGAGGGCAGCGTGCCACAGCTGATCGAACGCTTTCGTGATGTCAAGAGCAACGACATGAGCCTCACCATGAGACTGGATGAGTTTACTCCACAGTTGCGTGACGTAAGCTAGGAGGTCCCCTGTGGATCGTTGGTGCCGGAAACCGTACTGCCTGTCGCTAATCAAGCTGTGACGTTCGAGGTAGTCCAGAAGCTCGCGATGTATGCACCTCTCCATCGCTTTACTTATAACAGAAAGCAGAGCTATAGGCCTGTAGTTGTAAGGGTCGGTTTTAGATCCTTTTTTTGGGATGGGCTGTGCATGAGCAAATTTCCAGTTTTCTGGGAAGGTGCCGGATTCATAAGATATCTGGAAGAGACGCGAAAGAACTGGAGCAAGCTCAGCTGCACATCTCTTCAGTACAATGGCAGGAATCAAGTCCGGACCAGAAGCTTTGTTGATGTCGAGCGACAAGAGCACTCGTCTTACGGTCTTATGCCTGAATGTTACCTCCCGCATAGTGTGGGGAACCCTTTGAATTGACGGCACTTGGGCGTTGGTGGGGACGTCCATGGTGGAGTTGGCAGCAAAGATCTTGGCTAGCACTTCCGCCTTGGCCTTTGAGTCGAATACAATAGTTCCATCCTGACACGTAAGGTGCTAGACGACCGCCGAATTAAAGTGAGAGAGATAGCAGAGGTTGTGAACATGTCAAAAGAACGTGTTTGTCACATATTAGATCAACATTTAGGCCTGAGAAAGCTGGCTGTGCATTGGGTGCCGCGTTTGCCCACGTTAAACCAAAAACGCCCTGTTGGCGCAGTTGAGGCTCATTAAATCCGAGTTTTGACGCCGACTGAATACTGTAGATGAATCTAGGATACACTATTATACGCCTGAAACAAAAATTCAGTCCAAACAGCGGACCTGAAAGGGTGAACCACCTCCAAAAAAAGCAAAAACAGTTTTTTCGACTGGAAAGTGATGGCTGCCGTTTTTTTGGGATGGTCATAGAGTTATTTTAATCGATGATCTTCAAAAAGGAAAAACCATTACAGGAGCATACTACGCATCATTACTGGACCGGCTGAAGGCAGAGCTTGCGGAAAAACGACCACGTTTTGCATCGCAAGAATTCACGAGTTACGGGTTGAACTGCTTGACCACCCGCTTTACTCACCAGATCTAGCCCCAAGCGACTTCTTTTTATTTCCCCAGCTAAAAATTCTCGGAGGATAGACATTTTCGTCAAATGAAGAGGCAACCACCTTCGTGAACAAATATTTTGCAGAGACAAGCGCCGATTACTATTTGGATGGGTTACAGAGATAGAAGCATCGCTGAGAGAAGTGTGCAGAGTTACAAAATAAAAAAATCAAAAAATGTATTGTATCAATGTTAGGTCAAAAACTTTTCAGTCCACCCTCGTAAAATACAGGATGCTTAAACACCCCGAACACTCGACAAAAACGTTTTTCTTTTCGATGAAAGCAGATTTGGGTAGTGTTTGAGATTTTACACCGAAGTAACCGCATGTATGACCTACTCTCGTCTCAAAAGTACATGATTTGCCTGATAACAACAATGTATGTCTCTGAAGGAGGATTGCAACAATAGTCTCAACCTCAAAATGGTGGTTGCTTTTTGAATTAAGGAAATACTTCGAGGTCAATCACTATTGAAAAACATATAATGTATAAATGTGCCATAAATGTTGGTAATAAGGTATGATAGAATGTCCATACAAGCATGAGTCTGGAGATGCTTTGTTTTCAAAATATAGGAAAAATAGGTTTTTCGAAAAGTCGTAATAACTATTTAACCACTTTTGTTAAAATTTGTTTAAATATAGCGGTACAGAAATATTGCTGAAAATTTAGTTAAAATCTAATAAGAGATACGCATCAGGACAACTCAAATTCCCACATGGAAATAATACTTGATTTAAATGCAGCAGTCTAGCAATTTGCTGAACGATGAGTTCTTACTTATTGATTTCTAATAAACTTTACGTTGATGCATCTGTAGCTGCAATATTTCATCAACTTTTAACAGACTTGACTCAGAGTTATTTCGATTTTTTCGAATAAACGAATTTTCACACAGGTCTCGAGGTTTACAGGAACTTTTGTCTTAGGATTGCTCAAGAAATCACACTTTGGAGCTTTTTATCACCCTATACAGGGAGTTTCAGTTTATTGTTGCATTACTTTAAGATTCGATAGGACTTTTAAAATTAATGCATAAAGTCTATATAAACATGGGTCGAAAAATCCGTGGCTTCCGAAATACAGGATGTTCAAATTTACTTTTTAAAATATTTCGAACAATATTTGATGTATAACAGTGAAAATTGGTATACAAGGGTTTTTTGGTACGACAAAACGAACCATGGGCATAGCTTTACTGTAGCCGCTAGAGGGCGCTCTCTACTGTACCTGTAGTGTATTAATATGACCGAACATTTTTTCTTAGTGCAATTTTATGCTTTTTGAATAAAAAACTGATTCTTCGCACTTTTCTGCATAAAAAGGCTTTCCTGTAAGTTTTCGTTATAGTTTGCCCTTTTTGAGATATTTCGATTTTTAAGGTTCGATGTTTTTTAATTATTTATGGGAAAATAATATTTTTTTTTTACATTTTCGATTTGGGCGTTACAAGTAATTAAGATGATCGTTTAGATTGTGTTTTTAAACACAGCAATAATTCCTAACTCCAAATAAACACAAAAAAACAGAATATTAATTTGTTTAATTTTCCATTATTATTTTTAATAAACTAAATTAATTATTTACAACTAAAATGCTATTGGATAGTTAGGACAAACATACAAAATCTAAACTAGTTGCTCGAAATGTAAACCCAATTGTTCAACAAACAATTCACATCTACGAATGATCGAACGTGGTATAGCATTATTCAAATAAGGCCCTATTTCATCACATGCATTCCTGATTCTATCAATTAGCATATCTCTTGTGGTTGTCTTTTAGAAATCCCCACACAAAGAAATCTAATGGATTTAGGTCAGGGTATCGTGGCGGCCAGGCGACTGGTGCTCCACGGCCGATCCAACTTTCTAGATAATTTTCGTCCAGCCAGTTTCTAACTATTCTCGAATAATGAGCTGGACAACCATCAAGCTGGAACCAGGCCAATCTTCTTAAATCTAACATAACATCATCCCATATATTTGCATGTTCAGCCTTTAAAAATTCCATGAAGGTCGCAGCATTTAACCTTGCAGGCAAAAGGTAGGGTCCAAATAGTCGATTACGGTAGATACCAATCCACACGTTCACACTAAATTCATGCTGAAAATTTCTTTCCCGAACTGCATGCGGATCTTCATGCGACCAAATATGTTGATTATGAAAATTTACCACTCCACGTCTAGTGAAGCATGACCCATCGGTTCATAAAACGTTACTTAAAAACTCCCTATTATTATCAGTTCTATCAAGAATCCACAGAGGTAAAATGTGATTCTTCGTTCTCCGTCCCCTGGCTGTAGTCCTTGCACAGGTTGCAAATGGTAAGGACGTCTATGGTCATTTCTAATAACACGGTGAACATGGCTTGCTGAAATTCCCAAGGCACCAGAAACTCTCCTAACACTTGTCGTCGGATCTCTATCAAACTCACGCAGAATCATACGGGTAAATCTGCGCTGACGAACATTTATGTTTTGATCCCTTTGGAGATTTCCAAAACCATTTTCAATTATTTGGCGATGCACTCTTACAAATACTGAACGAGTTGGATGTCGTCTGTTTGGAAATCTTCGTGCGTATTCTCTGGCTGCTTCTGCTGCGTTTCCATTTACAAAGCCGTACACAAAATGAATATCCGCTAACTCTTGATTGGAGAATAAAAATGGCATTTTTATAAAACTTA